TTATTTTTTTCTGTTGACAACTTTTCTACCAGAAATTTCACTCTGATTTTTGTGATTAACACCTTTTCTGAAAGGAAATCATATTGGGGATGTGCTTAAAAAGCATTATTTTCTTAAATGTATTGTTTTTATTACGTTTTCTCCCAGATTTTCTCAGATATTATGAAAACCAAAAAAAAAAAAATACCTCCTGAAGTACTATCTGATAAAAATGTATGTCACAATATAAAAAAAAAAAAAACGTTCTAGGATAATAGGGACGGGTGCAGCCTCTGCCTTAGGTAATTTAATGTAGATCTGTTAGCAATGGTTGACCATTACTAACGAAAAATCGATTATGAGCGGAGTTCAGTTGACAGTGGTGTTTTATCAATAATAGATATGTCATATTATAGTAAAATAATTAAGTAGGCATCATATATTATGATGAATAACATTTGTTTAATTTACCGATTTTCCGGGTTATCGTACATTTTCCAGTTTTTCCTAAGCTTTGTTTTCGATTTTTCACATTTGTTGAGAAAACTCCTGAAAAAATCGAAAAAGGACCTCTTTATAATACTTCCCCAGTGCAATTTCCTTTAAAAAAAATTGCTATCATTATAAGTTTGAGCAAAATTGCTGGTAGAAAAGTTGTCCACAGGAAAAAAAATATACATCTTTACAAAACCATAAGCCTCTTCACTCGACTCAAAATCTAAAATTAACGTTTTGTATGAAACCAATACATTCTTCTACTTCATTTAAAAATGTACATTAAATAATATGTTTATTATATCTATTATATCTACTCGTGGACCATTAACTATGCTAAATGCCAATTTCAATCCACTACTCTCGTGGGGGTGGATCATCCCATCGCCCCCTCAGGGACGTTCCTGAATGGCTTATCATTGCTTACAAATATACATTAAATTTCCCCTCTAATACCTTCTCAATTAGTCACCTACGACAGTGGCTACACTCACGTGCGACGTTGCCCAGCTTTTTTTTTATAATAAAATTGATATTAAATTATATTTTTCAAATAATTATCATAAAAAAAAAATACAATTTTCATATACAAGTAAAAATCTACTGACAATATCAATACGTTTTATACAATACGAATTAATTACACTTATATTTCATTTTATTATTCTAGTGATATTGTTAAATGATTATTATTTGATTCAATTTATTATAGAAATATCAATACATTAAATGAATATTACAATCATATTACAATTTTTTTTTTTTTCAAAAAAATATGTTAATACAATACGATTTATAATAAAATTACCTTAAATATTTTCCTTATGCATTTTAGTTATCAGGGACTAATAACTGAAGAGTAGTTTAATCTTCGAATATTAAGGCCCGTTCTCACTAATGTAACCGTTGATTTTTAAACGAAGTTTATAAGAAGATTATCGACCAATCGTGGTCGGTTTTTAGCTATATACAAAGTTTAAAATCAGATGAACGCTTTTTTTTTTTTTACATTAGTAACAACGGCCTGTAGTGTATGACATTGTATGTAAAAAGCTCTGAATTTTTGAAGATCAGCAGTTATAACCGCGATCGGTCCTCGTATTTTGTTAATTCTTTTGATAATAGACTCACAGGTATAATTTCATTGTCGCAGGGTTGCCCTTACAAGAAGTCTGTTTTCAGCAACATAATCGATAATAATAATTTGAAATCTATCAAGTCAATTTTGCATAAATGGATATATCTTTTTTGCCACAACGTATTTATAAAAGCGTTGAAGTGGTATTAAAATGACAACAGCCACACTCTTGCATTATGTAATTTAAAAATAGAAACGCCACTCAATCTTCACATCCACTTTTAATAAAATATTGTATCCATTTTAATATTTTGTACCCTTTTCTTATCGCGAGGTATATCACATCTGCCATGATATTGTCGTATTTCACGATGTCGGGGTTAAAACTGTCTGTTTTCAATATGCCATGTACTTCGAAATTCTTTTGGACGAATCAGGTTTTTCATTGGGCTTTTTTTCAAAATGGAAACAACTCAAGGCAATACCTCGGGGTCCAGAGCAGTCAACCATTTTTTTTTAGCTATTATTTATTTATATTACAAATTTATTTAATAATTTATGCGGTATTCGAACAAACATTCCAACATGCTGTACATTCTATCACCGGTTGACTGGTGACACTATAAAATATGTTTGGTGCAAAATAATTATTGTCTTTGATTATCTAATGTCTACAATTTATTTGTAACTGATTCGTCAGAAGAAGCTTCATCTATACAATGACGTATTTTAAGAGGGGGAGAAATTAAATTTTTGTAAATTTTAAATATTTCCCCCGCCCCCCTTTCTGCAAAAATGTTTAGCTTGTATTACATAAGCACATTGTAATACAATTTTTCAACAATATGTCTAAGTAAACATTTGCCTAATATGTTTGGTACAATATTAATTAAACATAACGGCTACAAGTGTATACCAAATGTATTTAAGATAATTATTTGCTTATATATAATATTTCTTTGTACGTTGTCTTTATTTACGTTTTTTTTTTTTTTTGACAAATGTGTGGTTCTACATTCAAAACCTAATATGGTAACAATAATATTAAAATGACTAGACAAGTTTTTTCAATTATTTTTAAAAAGATACCTCTGACTGAATATTAAATGTTTTCAACAAAAAAGCCCTCATATCCGAAGTTAAATAATTATCATAAATTGAAGCACAACGCAGCAAAATTCGTATTCTAATAAACTTGAGTATTATGTCAACTTTTACAATATTATTATAATATAATCTTATTAAACCATAATTATTGTTTGTCGAATATCGTATTGTTTTTGATTCGTGCCATAAGTGTACATTGATGACTAGAAAGCTATATTGCAAAACCGATAATTTCACAGTAAGCCACACTGGCTATACAGCTATTGTGAACGACACTCTAATTGTCTAAAGTATCATTGTTTAAAATTATTCCACACGAATACTTTTATCTTAAATAGTTCAAAGGAATCATCTTGAATTTGATTAGATTCTTTTTTAGGTATAAACAATATTCAAACACGTATAATTTAAAAAAATATATAATTATTGTTATTCTTTTTATATACACATTTATATGTCAAGAAAAAGTCGTTATATGACATTTGGTTATGTTCGTGCTCAGCCCAAGACGATATACCCAATGAGCGAACTTATCGAATTGATGTTGCAGACTTTGGTAACAAGAAATATCATTAGACTTCAAAACTATTTTGATATCATCTGCGAAGAGGAGAAATTTAGCCTTGGTGATCGACATACTCATTGAGTTAACAAATGAAATAAAAAGTAAGGGACTAAGATGACCTTCTTGGGGAACACCAGAGGCTATGCTATATAAGGATGACTTACAATTATTGACCGTTACAAGCTGCTACCTATTGAAGAGATAAAAACGCAATACATATCATATAATGGTAAAATAATGAAATAGACATGATAAATTTTATATAATAATATTTGTTTAATGAACGAAATTTTCCGATTTTCCAATTTTCTCGTTTTCCTTGTTTTACCATGTTCTTTCCCGGCTTTTCATATTTGCTTGGAATATTCTTCGGAAAATCAAAATATGATCTCCTTAAAGAACCTTCCTAGTCAGATTTCTTCCAAAAAAATTTTTATCACTGGCAAAATTGCCGCTAGAAAAGTTGTAAACAGATAAAAAAAAAATAAACATCTCTTTAAAACCATAGGTTACTTCGCTCTACTCAGAATCTAAAACTGAAAATAAAAAAAAAAGCATTTTTTTCTTAAATTTTCCCTCTCCTTATTTTTCGGTTTCGCTGAATTATCAAAAAAAAAAAATACAATAATACAAAAAAATACGACTTTCTTGTTCACCAACAAAACTAAAAATTCAACAAAAAAGATATCGTTCCTTTATTGGAGTAATATTTCTGGTAGAAAAAATAAAACCGACAAATTTAATATAATGAAACCGTAACGACGTAAATATTTCATTTTTCGGTTTTAGTTTTTTTTTTAGCCATTTTTTCCAATTATATATATTAAGAAAATTTCTAGGTAAATCAAAGAATGACTTCTTAATGAACAACATTAAAATTTAAAAAAAAAAAAATGTTTCTATTGTTTGTTTTCTATTCTATGTTTCTAATTTTTTGATAAGAGCAATTCTTCTATTTATAACCATAGTTTGAAATTAAAAACAATGAAATAAGTAACGCCGCAGTCACTATGGCGCTCCGTAAACATTTGTCACAGTACCTATAGTTTTGTTTCCGGTGTTTCACAACTATTTTGAAAACCTCTTGAAAAATCAAAAAAATTACTAAAATTACTTCTATTATACCAATTGAATAAAATTTCTTTTTAGAAAAGGTGCTACACTTGGTTTATTGAAACACGTTTTCTTTTCGAAAAGTTGTTTACATGCAGAAATAAATAAATAATAAAGCACATCGTATCAAAAAAAAACATTGACTCGCCTCGCTCCAAGTTTTAAAGTTGCAATTTATGTGGAATAAAAACAGTTAACCGTAACATATTAATGTTTTTTTTTTATACGCATTTTAACGAAAATCGTAAAAATAACGGAATTTCAAAAAATATTCAACTCCGAACTTCTCTCAGAATCGTCTTTTGTTATCAATGGTCTAGACATATTAAATCGATTGCTTTATGCATCTTACCTTCCTCACTCCTAACATGCAACATCGATGCATCCAACGGTAATACCGATTTTTTTTTCTTTTAATTTCTGCTTTAAATCACCAGAATACGCTTAAAAATAGTAGGTACATTGAGTAAACAATTGTAGAAGTATAACAATATCCGTAAGTGCGTTCTGAGAAATGAAACAAACAAAACATCTTATAATGTACAATATTTTATTACTTCGTATTATCGTCTTGATATAAATGTATAGGAAACGATTTTTATTAAATAGCTGTACACACAACGACACAATTCGTTTAGTAATAATAATAATAAAATGATTTCGGTCAACGAGTAAAATTCAAGGGACTCGGAAAAAAAATAATACACACTAATGCGTAGTGTGCGTACCGAACAATATTTCGCTTATTATAGTTGTGTTAGGTTTTGTCAAAAAACCTTTAAATATTTTAGTTATTAATATTGAAACATTAATAATATATATATATATATATACAGACTGTTCCACGAAGATATAACCCTTGAATTTTTTTCGGAGGTAACAAACATAATCAAATTATAGTTTTAGATTCCGAGCGTAGCGATGGAGCCGATTGGTTTTACTAAGATTTTTAATTTTTTCTTTCTTTGTTCTAGTCTGTGGACACGTTTTTTTTTTTTTCCAGTAAACTTGTTCGGCGTTGTTTAACGTGTTTCGACTTTTCTGAAAGCTCAAATTCACTAGATAGTAATTTAAAGAAGTCAGTTTTAGATTTTTGACGATATTTTTTGAAAAAAAGCACTTAAGGGGGAAAAAACGTAGAAAAACGTGCAATTTCACTATTTCATTTTTTTATGAAAACACGGATGACGTTTTCTACCAGAAAAAAATGATTAAATCGAAAAGTCCTTAGATATATGTTTTGTTGCTTTTTTGATTTACTTTCTTATGGTACCATCGTCAAAACTTTTGTGCCAATTTTGAGCTTTTAAGGAATTTTAATTTTTGAGAGTTCTTTTGCTGTAATTCAGTTATAAATACACGTAGAGACATAAAACTTGGTAATAATACTTATTTTGAACTTACCTAGACGTGGTAAAATTTCCAAGTTTCTCGGACAACTTTTTTTCTTTTCATAAAGCGTTTTGAAATCAAATTTAAACGAAAATCGCAATAAAAATTGCGTCACTTCAAATAATGTACTACCGAACTGCGCTCGGAATTGTCTATTGTCAACAATGATTTATCGTTGCTTACAGATATAAATGAAATAACTTTATGTATCCTACCTTACTATTTTCTCACCTACAACAGTAGCCGCTCCTATTCTCGGTATCATCTCATTTTTTTTTTTTTTTATGTATTATTCACAGGTATGAGGACTACACATATTTATATTTTCATTAAATTTTTTTTAGTAAAAAAAAATATATTTCATCACACATTTTTATCTGATGAATTCCGATAAATAATTTCTAACAGCCGTTTTAAATTCTTCTAACCTGTTTGAAAACCAATGTTATCGCGTTACGTAGACTGCTGTTACTTGGAAACTATTCATCGGGTATAAATGTGTGAGACAATTAAATGTTCAGAAAAAAAAAACCTGCAGAATGGCTATCTTTACATTTTCCGAAAATAATAAAATAAAAGTTTATTTTTTACAAAAAAAAAAAAGATCCTCGTCCTCGTGAGTAATATAAAATAGAATTTGATTATTTTTATTATCTTCGAAGATATTCAAAGGGTATATCATCTTGGGATGGCCTATACATATGTTAATAAATCATCATGGTTCTTGTTTTTTTGTACAAAATATATGGTATATTTTAATATTCATTGTTACAATAAAGTATTTTTTTCTAATAATTGAATTTAATCGTTTCATATATTACTTAGATAATGGTTCAATCTGCGAATATAGACAACAGGATTATGCATGTGAAAAGTCCTAAATTTTCTAACGTGAGCTGGTTCGGCTTCTTTTGGAATTTTAAATATTTCTTCCTCGACTATTTGGCACTTTTTTTCTATAGTTTCGTTTTTGGAATATTCGTCTTTCGTGTAGTCCAACTTCCGCAACAATTCTGTAGCTGATCCAATGAATTTTATCAAATCAGGATTTCCACTTAAGTCGATACGTTTGTTATGCAACATCATATTTATTAAAACGTCAATATGGTATTTAAATATCGACAACGACGTTCTAGCAATTTTCAATTCTGTACAATAAAAGTTCTCATCAATTTCACATTGAAATGTATATTGACATTTAGTATTTGATAAATAAGAATGAATAGTTAAATATTTCATCGCTTTCATAATTTTGTACCCTTCTTTTAACGCGACGTATAATATGACGTCGGCCACGATATTGTCGTATTGCACGATGTTGAGGTAATGTCTATCAGTTTTCAATTTGCTCTGTAATGCGGCCAAATTATACGTTCCCTCGGACGTATCAGATACTTCGTTGCGCCACTCCCATTTAGCCCCATCATCCTTCGTACTTGAAAATTCGTTGAGCTATAATTCATTACTATATTACATATGTATTAATAAATTATCAATACAATTTAAATACCGTTTTGTATCTACTCTACTAAAACGGAACGATAATAAAAAAAATATATTATTATGTATGGCATATTTCATTATGACTGTATCCGTTCTTAATCTGTGTGATTTGAAAAAATTAAAATAAAACACAGACGTTAAAAATAATGCTATTTCAATTATGACATTAGCGAAGAATTTATTTTTAATGATAAATAAATAGAAAAGTTAAGTATATTACCGAATACAATACAGGTATAACATCTTCAGTCGATACCTTAAAAAAAATGATAAATCAAATACCTTTTTTTTTTAAGTTTAATTAAGTTGAACATCTTAATATAACATTAATTTTAAATTTCACATGACAATCATTGATTTTATTTTTATTTTTTTGGTATATGAAATTGTTTATACAATTCTATTATATTCTATTATTATAATATCCATTATTTATAAATAAAAATTGAAACATAGAGTATGCATTGTTTTTAACCAAAATATTAATATTGTTGATTAATCATCTGTTGTGTTAATTATATTACATATCGAATAAATAAATACTATTATACACAATACACATCGTATTTATATTATTTTATTTTGGTATGCAAACCATTTGTATTCAGCCAATATCGTTTGTCTTTAAATTTTAAAGAATTATTTTGTTCAATTCCAATTAAAATATCCAAAAAAATACCTGTGTGGTTATATAATAGCCGTTTTATTTTATTTTTGAAGATATTATACATCTTCCGAAAACATCGTCTAATGTGACACTAATCATGGACATGTTTTAAATATATTACACGAATACATTAACAGTTCAGCTGAGTAACGCGAAGTAAAACGTCAAGTTCGGGTCTGAATTCTCTTCCTGAAATAGTTTTATAACATCCAATGTTTACAATAATATTTCTTCCTAACAAAATCATCTTTGATATTTTCAATCGTCATCGTTTATACAACGCAATACATTTCTACATGTGTGGTACACGCGTCGATGTCATTTCACCTTTATTATATTTGTATACTTAAAACATTTACTTTGAATTTATACATATACTCACTTAATGCATTTTTTTATGTAACTCATTTGTTTTAAAATAATTTTAGGTGCATACAATTATATTAAATATTATACAAAATCAGTAGAGTATCTATTTATAATTATAATTAGGCAAAACGAGTATTATAATATTCGATCATGCATTTGTACCTCGTTCATGTAGTTCTCATGTCTGTAATATTTAGTTTCCTATAAAATAAATTAAATACTGTAACACAATTGTTTTTAATACCTATGACTGAACTAAAAATTAGTATAATTCATTTTATATCGAGTAACTAGTGTTTAAATTTAGAAAAAAACAGGACAATTATCATTGATTTTCATTACTTAAACTAATATTAAATAGAAAATATTAACAGTTGCATCATAACAAATTGAATTATAATAAAAATATATTTATCTTAGCTGAAAGTTTACCATTACATATTTACCAAAATATTGCTACAATCCCACGATTCGATGCGGAGTTTTTCCGAAAAAAGTGCGCTATCGTCATCAACATTCACAAACTAAAAAATGGATATAACATTGAACACAAATCAATTTAAAAGTGTATCTATTTGAAATAGCATTAGATATAATATCATCCGAACAGACGCTTTTGTCGTAATAATTATAATTGGGAAATATTGTTCATAATAAATAGAATCCGATTAGAATAACGTCAATAAAAATACGTACGTTCACGTTACACACTTCGGCTACAAATACATATTGCATAAAAAAATCAGATTCGACCTCTGCCGTACCGAACATATCGTAGCCAATTATTAACGGTGAACCCGTTGCATTACAAAACCGGTTTGAGATCAAATTAATCTCATTTTTGATAATCTCCATTAATACACTTTGATACTCCAAAAATGTTCGACTTTGTTTTGTATTTTCTTCTAAAAGTTGTTCACCATAAATCTCGTGTTCAATGTTTTCGTCGAGTTTGTACGATTTAATATTGAAAATTAAACGTTCTATCTTTTTCTTAATCAGATCGAGATCGGTTTCAGTAAAATGTTTTAAATACATCAAAGCTTCTAGTGCATTTCCGACGTCATATACACCGTAATCGTAAAGAAACGTAAAAACACAGTGGTCTTGATCCGACGTAAGTCTAATAGTTTTAATTATTTCCTCGTTCGAGACTTCATTTACCATTTTTTTTATCAGCTCAATTGCGAGTTGACAATAATAATGCATTTTCTTTAATATATAGCCAAAACTTCTATCCATAAAAAGTCTACCAAGGTTTTTTAGGTTATTTCTAACTGTTTTTAGTTTTTCCGATTTCATTTCTGTAGCACTTACATTGAACGAATATTTGTTCTTTTTAAACTCTTTTTTTATTACATCATACATGTCCACGAAAGACATGTCCATAACGTTTTGAATTTGATTCCAAGTTAATTCACTTTTGTACCTTAATTCGGCCAAATTTTTGAAACATTCTGTCAATAGAAACAGCGTGTTTAGAAATATTATAACCTTCATATTTTTTGTATAAACGTTAATTTTTAAATTATTCAACTAGTATACTAGGTATGTATTTCCAAACTTGTGCGCATGTAAACTTCGAGTAAAATTTTAAGTCAACATCACGCATAAACGTATAATGTGTTTTACAATAATTGTTTGCTTATATTAATTTTGATATTTATTTTATTTGTGTTTTGCTTTCGTTTTTCGATGCAAATATGTGGTTCAAAACACAAAGTTAATACGCCAGCAACGATTTAGCGGACTTTTTATTTCTTATTTTTGAAAAAATGTATTTAATCTATGTTTTCCCTTACTATTTATAAAGTATGTTTATGTGCGGACTTATTATTGTGAGAAAAAAACCAAATACTGTTCAACGTTAAGATGATGATGCGATACGGTTTAGATTTCGGTTTTTGATATTGAATATCAGTAATAAAAATTTGTATGGATGAAACAAACGTTCTACTCAAATACAATAGAGTATTATGGCCCTTGTTTAAACACATTTGCAAATGATAAGGTAATGGGCATAATATCGTGGTAAAGCATAATAATTGTTTGACAGACATCGAAGTTGTTCGCACAAATGACATATGGTGATGGTTAAAAACAATTTGGCGCAAAATACACGTGTGCAGTAATCAAGAGTGGCTATATGCACGTGCTAAAACTAGCATTACGGACGACCCTGTTGACAGATCGATGGTTGATATTTCTGTATAACATAGACGCAATAAAACATACATAATTTTAAAAAATAAATGATTTTTAACATTTCTTCCGTATTCGTGCTAAGTGAAGTAATTAAAAATCAAAATAATAAATAAAGATGTGTTTGACGGTAGACAAAAATTTAACTTCATGAAATATATATTTTTTTTTTTATAAGCATTTTATTGAAAATCGTAAAAATTAAGACGTTTCGAAACATATTTAACAGAAATTCGTTTATAATGCTATTTCGTTCGCACTGAGTTATCAATATTTATAGATATCATTTTAAAATAATACTTATTCCAAATACCTATTCTATTTTTTCTAATTTTAACATACCAAAGACGTATCTGTCTGGGGGTTCAAATATCCTCGGACATTTTGCAGGTTATATTATGCTGTGGGAAAATAATTAGTCCAATCAATTAAATGAGAACATCACTAACTTTAAGTTTACATCCCCAAGTTTACATTCTTATTGTAAACATAAGTTTACAACAAGAACTTATTATTAACATTAATATAATAACAGTACAATTAATTTAATAATAACAATTTAATAATCACTTCAATTTTGACAAACATATTATTGATATTGCTTAGTGTGTGTACCAACAATATTTCGCTCATTGTCCTAACATGAGGTTTTAATAAAATTCGATTAATATTTTAGTTTTAACTATTGAATTATTAAAATATTTCAATAAATAATTATGTTCCAAGTTACGTACTGTACGAAATGATTATAAGAAAGTCGTTGTATATTCGATTCGGAGCGAATTAGTTTTACTATGGTGTGCATTTTTTTTTTCTTATCTATAAACAATTTTTCCCCCAAAAATCTTACCCCATTATACAGAGTGTAGTAACATTTATGAAAATAAATTTTATCTAGTCCGTGCATTAGACAGATCATTTTTTGATTTCCCAAGAGGTTTTCGAGATAATATGGAAAAACCGAAATAAAACGGCAAATATTTACGGCGTACTCCAGTATTATTAGACTGTGACTTACGAGTAAAGTATAATTAAACATTTAATATGAGTCTAAATTTTTTTACCAATATGCGTCACATATAAATAAAAGTTAAACAATTTAAAGATTTCACTCTTAAACCTAACATAACTATACTCCCTTCTCACTACCAAACATTTTCTGAAATTTAATTATTTCAAATATATCACCCCCCTCATTCCAACCAACTCCCTAAAAAAAAAAAAAAATTCTGATTGCACCATTGGTAGTCAAAACGTTATTGAGCTATAATTTATTAATAATATATATGGATATTAATTATAAATTAATTTAAGTGCAGGTACTTTTGTATCTACTCTACTGAAACAATATGATAAAAATATATTATTATTTATTTTCTGTCAAGTATGGAAGGGGGGGAGGGGTGTTATAGGCGTTATTCTTTTTTGAGCGTATTAATTTTAATAAAACAATGTCAACAATTTCAAATCGAATATTTGAAGTTGATTCTTATGTTATTTTCTGTTTAGGAAAAATACAAATTGGAGAAAATATTAAAATAATTTTCCTTATGTATAAATTATACACACATTCCATAATAAAAGCTATCATTCATATCGACCGATGTGAGTAAAGTTTGGTTAGCTTTATGTAAGGGTCTCACCATCCTCACCTAACTAGAGGTTATAGGAAAGAATCTCATACCCAAGATTTTCGTTAGCAATGGTTGCATTACATGCGTGTCGTAACGATAGTAGATTTTTTTTTTTCAAATCTGATTTTGAGCTTGATAATATATTGACGTTTAAAGGCCCTAATAAAATATTATTCCCGAGATAGAGAAACATAAATAACACAAATACTGATTAGCGCCACTGTTCGTTGCGCTTCAAGAAAGAATTTCAACACTATGACAACGCGATTAAATACGTAAAATATAAATATGACATTATTCAAAACAATTACACGTTTTAGTTGATAGATTATTGTCATCGTAAAAATATCGTGACCAAAATGACTGACGATTCTTGTTTTTGCATTAATCTTTTGACGGTCGTCCTCGTCTTATTCCGATGCGTGTTGGGCGCCAGGATTTGCTGTAGTTCTTCGCTTACAGCACCGTACGTGGATGCCGACTCGGAAGACGGATACCGTTTCCCGGAGAACTCTCCGGACGTGTTACAAATCACATGCCGGTACACAAAGTCGACAACGATGTCACCAATCGCCAGCTCTAAAGTCGGCGGCAAACGACGACGACAGAAGCCATCGATAAAAAAAAACATCATCGGCAGTGGCCGGTGGTAAATCTGAACTGTATACGATTTCGGATATCATAAAACCTACTAATTTGCGAATATATCGCAATAGATATTAGGACTACAGTATTCACGATCACATGCCGTTAAGTGGACAACATCGTTGCACAGTTGTCAAAAATATATTACTGCTACTGTATTGTTACAAATTATTATTGTCGTTGTTCTTGGGTATTAATACTATTGGCCTTTACAGCTGTATCGTACAATTTTTGTAATTAATAATAATATTATTGCGATTTTTGTTTTTTGTGTTTTGTTATTGCCGTATCAAATTCACAACACTTGGTTTGTCGTTTTGTTTGGCACGTAAATCTCTATAATAGTAGTGATATTGTCATTTAAACTAATTCTTCATCAGAATTTTAGGGTAATAGGCGGTGCTTAAAATGGGAAAAAAAAAAGAGTGATTATAAGACTTGAAACAATTAAGCGTATCTTGAAATTACTTACTGAACTAAATCTAACCCGGGGAGGTGTTTCATCTCTATACTACCCTCTCATACTAATTTTTAATAATTATTTACGAAAAAAAAAAACAATAATGCAAGTTAAATTTGTACTTACCCTGCAATTTATAAATAATAATATGATATATTTATTTCAGGTTTTACTATAATAAATAATTTTAATGTGTTTTACATTCTGAACGGAGTAAAAATGTATTGGTTTTAATTTTTTTTTCCTGTGAATTACTTTTCTATCAGGAATACCGATCTAATTTTCAAGTGTATTATTTTCTCAGAAAGGAAATCTTTGAGTATATTTTTTGATTTTCCTATAGGTTTTCATAATAGAAAAAACGGGAAAAATGAACGTATTATTTTCAAATCGTAAATATTACGGCCTTTTAGGAAATGTATAACATTAAATCTCCCCGCTAACCTTTAACCCTCTAATTCTTTTAAACCTTCTCAACTTCTACATCAGTAGCCCACCGTCCACCCATCGTGCGAAGAATGTTTGTTTTTTTATTTCTTTGTCTATAAACAACTTATTTACTCAACATCTTGTTCTGACTATAAACTATGTGGGTAAAGGTGTCTGCTATAAAATGTCTTGATATTGTAATGAAGTCATATTTTGATTTTTCTTAAATAGTATAGTTAAAAATGGAGATAGCCCCCTCAAAAAAAAGTCAAGAATACTGGAATATATACATTATTTACACAACAGTATCTATTACATTAAATTTTGTTTTTTCATTGTAATTTAGCGAAAAATAACCATGAAAGCCAAACATTTCACTGAACATTACTTAATTTTTAATATTTATGACTATACTCATAATCTGCCCTAACGCACTATCGTCATAAATAATTTATATTCGTTATTGAATCCGTTATAAATTCGTGACAAATTAACCGATATTAGGAGTTGTATGTAATGAACAGTTTATTTACAGGAGACAAAAGTAATAATTTGCACACAACTTTAAATTAAAGAAAAACTCGTTATTATGTTAAGATAAAAATACTACCATTCGTAAGACAAAGTTCAGACTTATTCAGCTATATTATACATTTTTCATTAATGTTTTTTTTTTTAACTTAACCTATCTAAATGTGTCTAAGTAACATACCGGAAACAGAAGTAAAGTAAAATAAACATGCATTTAATAACATTAATATAACATAAATCAATTTTATTTAAAACTATTTTATATGCTGATTACTAATTTCTCTTATAATATTACTGTTAAGTGATAAGTTTTGTACTTAATTATTGAAGTATTCTTATTGTGTTTAAATAAATCTTCATACATTTAAACTTATATTCTAAGTATAAAATAAAAATATTTTATTATAACATAGAATATAATATTGTTGGTTATATTTTACCGATACGTTTTATTTATGAGTAGCATTACACTCGTAACTTACAAAATGGTTTANGATCCATTAATTTTAATAAATATGTTACTATCTCTTTAAACTCTATTAAACTGGCATTCTTCTTTAAATTGATACGTCTTTTACGCAATATCGTATCGATCAAAGCGTCAAAGTGATATTTGAATGTTAACAATAATGTCCTATTAGTATCTAATTGCGAATTAAAAATTAAATTCTCATTATCTGATATACAGTACTTAATATAAAGTTTTATTGCTTTCAATACTTTGATCCCTTCTTTTAACGCGACGTATAATATCACGTCGGCCGCGATATTTTCGTATTGCACGATACTTTGGTAATTATAATGGGTCTTCAATTTGTTCTGTAATGTGGCTAAATTGTATGAATTTTTTGACGTATCAGTTACTTCATTAGGCCACGTCCAGTTCACCTTATCATTCGTAGTCACCATGGTATTGAGCTATAATTGAGGAATATAATATACAGAGTGAACATAATAATCTGACAATTGAAATACCTTTTTTTGTGTTCAATATTTTTAAATGTTAGATTTTAATTATTACTGGAGCCTACTAGAATCTACTATGATTCCTTTATTTTATATATTTTATCATCGTTTAAAAATAAAAATTTCAAAATTCAAATCGGATAATATAATACTATTTAATTGTTATGTAATAGTGATAATGATAAAATGACGATTGTAGATGTAAAAAATTCCAGAGGTAAATATGTCCCCCGTTCAGATTTTCGTCAAAAGGTATAACGAAGAAGCAAATAGTGATGTGGAATGTCAGATCACTAGGAGTACATGGAAAACTTTAAAATTTGAAGTTATAAATAGAACGTCATAAAATTAATGTCCTAGTTATTAATGAAAAAAAATGGACTGGACTAGATTACTAGTCGGGAGATAACAGTGTAATATTTAATGGCGAACTTTGTTATGTTAAGGTACATCATACGCAATCATCCCATCCTACCCATTATTATACACAATTAATAGGTATTATATTAAGTATTGACGATTTGTAATATTTCGTAACTAGTCGTATCACCGAACTTTATAATCAGATTTTGATCAAATGACTATAGGACTGTCTTGAAGGAATATCGAATGAAAAAATAAAATATCATTCGAAAATTGGTTCATAGTTGACGGAATAATTAGTGAATAAATTTCTATGGCCAATATACTAATTATCAAGTAAATTATCAATCTTTTGGTTCAAATCAGTTCAAAATAACACAAAATATAGAAATGGATAAAGCTAGATGGTAAAATTATTATATGGTATGTATATAAAGTATAAGTATGTATGGTAGGTACATTACCGAAAAAAATATTTTTAACAAATCTTCCCGACGACCCTTAAAAAATGATAACAATTAATTTAAATTTGATTTTTTGTAAATTAAGTTTCAGGTGGATTGTCTTATACATAATATTATATTTAAATTTTAATTATATTGTCTTATGAACAATTTTTGAGTTCACCATATTATAATATTAGATAATCTATTTTAGATAGGCATATTATATACTGTCATTCCTTTGTCTTGTATTATAATATATCAGAAAAAATATATTTAAATGTATGATACATCTGCGACCTTCATTTCAATATAGTTTCATAGATACTACATAATAACAGGTACAGTCGGAATAAAAGAGTATAATTATTGTTGGTGTGAATTACAAATTTAAAAAAGGAAACATAAAAGCCGAGATAATTCGCACCATGGACAAATATCTGTTGTTTTTAGGTATCACAGGAAGTTTAAAATATTGGATATACATAGAGTGATCAATATAAGACAAAGCACTTATTATCTCTGTTATTTTTCAAATCGGTTCCCTTTCAATTTTGTATGAGTTATTTGAAATGAAATATTCAACGCATCGTGATTTAGAGAAATACTTTCAAAAACAACCGGGAAGCATAATATATAATTACAAAATTAATTTAAACTTTAAAAAATAATTATTATTATAACAAACATTTTAAGAAGTTTTGGGTATACTGCAGTTAAACTCCCAAGTGATTTTTCGAACAATTTTCTTTTCGGAAATCTATGTATTTCGACAAGTTAAGAATAATAGTACAATTAGATTTAATTGTCGGTCAGTCAGATGTACTACCTAAATAGAAAGATTAGTCAGATAAAATCATAACTGACAAAAAAAGTAAAAATTTTTTTCTAACAAATATCGGTTCCGGTTTGAGTTAAGATTCCTATGAAAATCAAAAAATGTTTTCGGTTACGTATCGGTTCTAACATTTTTAAAATGTTCCGGTAAAAATATCGGTTCCAAGCTCTGAACTTCATACTTGTCCTGCACACACTAGTACAGATATACTTACTACTACTAGTAATTAATCCCAATAGACATACCGCGTGTTTCTTTTGTATAGTTGGTACTCATAAAATAATAACTAATTTTTTACAACTGAATACTTTCCGCGGTGCATCGCTATACACTTTCAATTACCTACTTAAATCATAAGGCTGTCCAATTCTATCGGTGTTTCAGAATTCTTTTTTCAAAACAATGTTGTCCTGACCGACAGCTTTTCGAATATGTTAAATTATGATGAATGACAAATGATAAATCTCGGACACCAACATGTTCATCATTTACACTGACCACGAAATATCAGGAATGGAGTAAATCCTTCCAGGAACACTTGGAGGGAATTGTCTGGCGCAATATTTTTCGACCCGAACCTCCGGATCAGACCCGGGGAATCGGCACATATAAAAACCAATATAACAATATTTTTCTTAAACCCGATGAATTTCACCTCGGATCCGGTATGGACCAATGGGAAATTTAAGTAAATTTACTATGAAAAATCTATACCGATTAGGGGAAATACACTTTAGGACTCCTATTATTTTATATAAAAAATTTGAATTATTTTGGATTTTATTGTAATATCTATGGTTAAATGATATTAGAGTTGTTTTAATTAATTAAATATAAAACGTAAACATATAAAGTAATACGATTAAAAAATATCAAACAAATAATAGAATATTTACGTTATTTGTTTGGACCTTATATCCGTATTCTTCGGATCCCTAAAAAAAAAAAAAAAACAATACAATGTAATTATACAGTGGGAATGCATATTATTCTTATTATTATCTCATTCAATATGTTATAAACAACGAATTCCAAAGATAATAAGGTATAACGAATCATTTTTTCTTTCTCTGATTTACTGCTCAAAATAGGATACCCGATGGCAAATACAGTTAATAAATTGCATATAGAAATAAGAAATAAGAAAAATGTATTTGTTTTGTAAAATATCTATAATGCAAAAGTAATCTATGAAAATGTTGAACTTACCAAAATACTACTACAATCCCACGATTCGATATGATGTTTTTCCGAATGGAGTTCACTATCACTATTAGCATTCACAAACTAAGAATATTAAATACAAGTATATGTTAACATATTATCTAATTTTGTATAAACAGTAATTTTCTGTATAATAATTAAAATTAGAAATATGTTTCATAATCAATAAAAGACATTCAAAAAAAAACTTACTTTCACGTTACATTCTTCGGACACAAATACGTAATGCATAAAATTATCAGTTTCAAAATTTGTATTACTGAACATATCATCATTGATAAGCTGAGGACCCGTTACATCACAAAACAGATTTGAGCTAAGATAAATGTCTTTTTTGATATTATCCAATAATTCATCAAAGCTAACTTCAAGGTCGGGTATACTGTCATTAAAATCTTGCACTTCACCATAAATCTGGTGTTTAATATTTTCTTCTAGTTTATATGATTCAATATTTTTTATTATACGCTTTAAATTTGTCAGTATTATTACAAGATTAGTTTCAGTAAACAATTTTAAATACATCATTGTTTCTAGTGCATTTTCGACTTCATATTTGCCGTAATCGTACAGAAACGTAAAAATACAGTATTGTTGATTTGAATGCAATTTAATTATTCTAATTAATTGTTCATCCGAGATAGTAAAAGGCTTATATTTTATCAGCAGGATCGCGAATGTACAAAAGTAATACATTTGCTTCAGTATATAACCAATGGTTCTGTCCATAAACCGTGATCTCACACTGTCAAGGTTTTGTTTGACTAAACTTAATTTGTCACTATTCGTTCCCGTGATACCTACATTATATGTAGAACTTCTTTCTTTGAATCCTTCATTGATTACATTAAATATTTTCTCATTCTGAGAAATTTCCATAATGTATTGTATTTGATTCCAAGTTATTTTTTGTTTGTGTCTTAATTCATCAAATTTAAAACATTCTGTCATTAGACATAATGTGTTAAGGAATATTAAAATCTTCATATTTATTGCGATGTGTGTAATCGTTTATTTTGAAATACCTTCGACTGGATACTCTGTAGAAGCCTCCTAAATGNGATTTATTACGCAATAATAACAATTTGGAAATATTAAAATAATTTTTGTCGTAAATTTGTCTGTTTTTCTTCAGGTTTTTGACTACAGTTTGTTTCAATTATTTCGAAAACTGCTTTGAACATCAAAAATCGACTTGAATACATAATAAAATACTAATATTTTTTTTATGCAATTCTCAAAATTCGGTACTATAGAAAATCAAAACTAAAAAAAAAATCGAAATTGAATTTGTACTTTTAAAATATTGCCGGCTACATAATTTCTATTTACTATTATATATTATTATATACAATATAAATTCTGGTGCCTTTCTATCTCTTTCCAAAGGTATTTTGTAGGTATTACTTTTCGGTTAGGTATTTATTCATATGCTTTATTTATATTCTATCAGTTAATAGATACGTAATTGTTTGAGTTTTTGTTATTATTAAATTTCTTAATCACGTATTATGCGAAACTAAATAAATCGCAGCATAATTTTAAACAACTCGATTTATTTATGTTCATGTTCACGGAGTCCATTGCGAATCAATTTTTATTAGTTCGTTATCAAAAATGATTGCATTATTTTAAATGTTTACTATTAGAATATTACAACCATAAAAGTTCTCATTTAAAATAATAACACAATGCATGTATTTGCCATGTAATATTATTTTAGATATTATTTATGTCATATTATTGGTTATTAAAAAGGCTTTTGAAAGCAGTCAATAAATATGTTGATAGACAAACAATTATCATGACTGTAATCATTCAATTATAATAATATGTATTATGAATTTGATGTGCAACAAACATTGAATGTATTATTAAATAATATAATGATTGTAGGTTACAAAATATTTCATTATGGTAAAGAAAAAATTAGGAATTATTGAATGTGAAAAAAATTGAACTATTCCTTAGTTAATAGAAATGTAATCAAACACAGGATTGCAATGCATATTCTAAAAGTTGTAAATTGAATTTATTCGAATTTATGAAACGTGAATACGCGTTACTCGCACACAATTAATATTCAGTTTTAATAATGGCAAATTAAATACCATTGGCACGTTTTTCAAATATTGTACGATTTTACAGGACGATAGTAAATAGGTTATTCTTCCATGTATCCTATATGAAAAAATCAAAAAACGTAGCTTGATTTTGTTTGTTTTAAAATAATGATAATGCATATATATTCGAAACTGTTTTTAAAGAACTTGAATAAAAGTATACATATATATGTATGTAATGAACANAAATTTTGTTTTTTCATTGTAATTTAGCGAAAAATAACCATGAAAGCCAAACATTTCACTGAACATTACTTAATTTTTAATATTTATGACTATACTCATAATCTGCCCTAACGCACTATCGTCATAAATAATTTATATTCGTTATTGAATCCGTTATAAATTCGTGACAAATTAACCGATATTAGGAGTTGTATGTAATGAACAGTTTATTTACAGGAGACAAAAGTAATAATTTGCACACAACTTTAAATTTAAGAAAAACTCGTTATTATGTTAAGATAAAAATACTACCATTCGTAAGACAAAGTTCAAACTTATTCAGCTATATTATACATTTTTCATTAATGTTTTTTTTTTTTAACTTAACCTAAATAAATGTGTCTAAGTAACATACCGGAAACAGAAGTAAAGTAAAATAAACATGCATTTAATAACATTAATATAACATAAGTCAATTTTATTTAAAACTATTTTATATGCTGATTACTTATTTCTTTTATAATATTACTGTTAAGTGATAAGTTTTGTACTTAATTATTGAAGTATTCTTATTGTGTTTAAATAAATCTTCAAACATTTAAACTTATATTCTAAGTATGAAATAGAAATATTTTATTATAACACGGAATACAATATTGTTGGTTATATTTTACCGATACGTTTTATTTATGAGTAGAATTACACTCGTAACTTACAAAATGGTTTAATCTACGAATATTTAATNTTCTCTTATAATATTACTGTTAAGTGATAAGTTTTGTACTTAATTATTGAAGTATTCTTATTGTGTTTAAATAAATCTTCATACATTTAAACTTATATTCTAAGTATAAAATAAAAATATTTTATTATAACATAGAATATAATATTGTTGGTTATATTTTACCGATACGTTTTATTTATGAGTAGCATTACACTCGTAACTTACAAAATGGTTTAATCTACGAATATTTAATATAGGATTAATCATATAGAATTCTCTTAGATTTCCAAATCCATCAATCTCAGAAGCAATTGAAACATTTTCATCTATTGTACCTATTTTGTCTAAGAATGATTCGACCTTCCTATCTTCATCATTTTCGGTACCAACTTTGATAAACAAAGGATCCATTAATTTTAATAAATATGTTACTATCTCTTTAAACTCTATTAAACTGGCATTCTTCTTTAAATTGATACGTCTTTTACGCAATATCGTATCGATCAAAGCGTCAAAGTGATATTTGAATGTTAACAATAATGTCCTATTAGTAATTAATTGCGAATTAAAAATTAAATTCTCATTATCTGATATACAGTACTTAATATAAAGTTTTATTGCTTTCAATACTTTGATCCCTTCTTTTAACGCGACGTATAATATCACGTCGGCCGCGATATTTTCGTATTGCACGATACTTTGGTAATTATAATGGGTCTTCAATTTGTTCTGTAATGTGGCTAAATTGTATGAATTTTTTGACGTATCAGTTACTTCATTAGGCCACGTCCAGTTCACCTTATCATTCGTAGTCGCCATGGTATTGAGCTATAATTGAGGAATATAATATACAGAGTGAACATAATAATCTGACAATTGAAATACCTTTTTTTGTGTTCAATATTTTTAAATGTTTAGATTTTAATTATTACTGGAGCCTACTAGAATCTACTATGATTCCTCTATTTTATATATTTTATCNCTGAATATTTTCTTTTTAATTCTCGTTACAAAATTCAAATCGAACAATATAATACTATTTAATTGTTATGTAATAGTGATAATGATGAAATGACGATTGTAGATATAAAAATATCCAGAGGTAAATATGTCCCCCGTTCAGATGTTCGTCAAAAGGTCTAACGAAGAGGCAAATGGTGATGTGGAATGTCAGATCACTAGGAGTATATGAAAAATTTTAAAATTTGAAGTTATAAATAGAAAGTTATACAATTTATGTTCTAGGTATTAATGAAATAAAATGGACTGGACTAGATTACTAGTCGGGAGATTACAGAGAAATATTTGATGGCGATGAGAACAAAATTAACAGACTGGAACTAATTGAAAATAAAGAATTTGGCCATAAAATCTAGAGTACTATCCACTTCAATGATAGAATTGGATATATCGAAGTAAAAACTAAACAAACAGACACATTTATTAAACAGATTTACATGCCAACTTCTAATCATAAAGACGAAGATTTCGAAGAAATGTACGAACTAGTTTTAGAAATAATAGAAATGGCAAAGGAAAGAGACAATATAATTATTTTAGTATATTGGAGTGTGGTTGTAGGCGAAGGGACTGAACCAGGAGTAACAGGAAAGTTTGAAGTCGCACTAAGAAACCAAAGAGGTGATAAACTTATATAAGCAGGTAATTGGTATCAATTGGATTATATACTAATTAGAAAAAAATAAAGAAATCAAGTTAAGTAAAATAAAAGCTTTTCGGGGGTAGACATAGACTTAATAATTTGAATTATTATCTTGTAGTTATGGCGACAAGAGTATGTCTTAATGAGAAAAACCGGAAATTTATGAGGATACATAGAAAGTTCTTAAAGAAACAATAACAAAAACAGCTTATAAGATTTTAGAGAAAATTAAGAACAGCCCTATAAAGCCATTGATTAGTACAAACATAGTAGAACTCATAGACGCAAAAAGAAAGTATAAAAATGGAAAAAGAGGATAGAAGAGAGGACAAAAGAGTGATTGCTAGAAGAAATGTGCTCATCTGTAGAAAAGTGTTTTACAAGAGGCTTAAGTGATAAAGCATATTTATAACTATTTTAAATTTTTTGTTTTTTATTTAAGATTTTATAATTAAATCAAATTATTAATTTTTTTCTTATCTTGACAATTGCATAAACAATTTGTTTAGTTTAAAAAAAAAAAACAAAACAAAGAAATCATAGTGTACAGCTCTAGTAATTATAACTAGAAAAAAACACTTAATTTTATTGAACAAACAAACAATTTTTTCATGTGTCAGTTCTTCTCGTTATATGGTGTACGGAAAAATTATAAATATAAAAGTGTGTATGATTGGGGGGTGCCAAATTTATTATAAATAATATATTGACATTGTGTAACATTTTGTAATTATTAGTTAACTCCAAAACAATGATATAAATTAATAAAATATTAATAGAAGGGATACAATACATTTAGTTATAATATTATATTATATTTTAAAAAATATTTAAGATTCAGTGCATGGTGAGGAATGTGTTGGTTTTACTATGATACGTGATTTTTTTTTTCGATTTGAACAAATTCTCTGTTCAAAATTGTACATCAAAACTAACAAAAATAAAAAATTAAAAAAATACACAATAAAACCAATAAAACCTTTGCTATATTTTGAATCTAAAACTCAATTATTGTAAATTTTTTTATTTTTTTTTTAAAATTTCAAAAATTTATTATCGAACAAAAACATACAAATTTCTTAAAAGTTAATTACAGTAGTTTTAAGATTTTTTTCCCATTCTACGTATCCCTTCTACCTATTCATTTAAGGGATGCCGAATATTTAGGACCCCATTTAGTGATAAATGGCTATTTTTTTTATATTAATGTGGTACCGAAATTTTAATACAAATCAATTTTTAAAAAACCCTTGGAACTACTGTACATTTTTTTAGTTATCGTGTATTTTAAGTCTGTTATTTTGTTATGTTGAGGTACATCATACGCAATCTCTTCATCCTACCTATTAATTATACACAATAAATAGGTATAATATTAAGTATTGACGATTGGTAATATTTTGAACTAGTCGTATCACCGAACTTTATAATCAAATTTTGATCAAATGACTATGGGACTGTCTTAAAAGAATATTGAATGAAAAAATAAAATATCATTCGAAAATTTGTTCATAGTTGACGGAATAATTAGTGAATAAATTTCTATGGCCTATATACTAATTATCAAGTAAATTATCAATCTTTTGGTTCAAATCAGTTCAAAATAACACAAAATATAGAAATAGATAAAGCTAGATGGTAAAATTATTATATGTTATGTATATAAAGTATAATTATGTATGGTAGGTACATTACCGAAAAAAATATTTTTAACAAATCTTCACTCCGACGCTTGAAAAATGATAACAATTAATTAAAATTTGACTTTTTGTAAATTAAGTTTCAGGTGGATTGTCTTATACATAATATTATATTTAGTTTATAATTAAATTGTCTTATGAACAATTTTTGAGTTCACCATATTATAATTCTTGATAATCTATTTTAGATAGGCATAAACTATACTGTCATTCCTTTGTCTTGTATTATAATATATCAGCAAAAATATATTTAAATGTGTGATACATCTGCGACCTTCGTTTCAATATAGTTTCATAGATACTACATAATTACAGGTACAGTCGGAATAAAAGAGTATAATAATTGTTGGTGTGAATAACAAATTTAATTTAGGAAACATAAAAATCGATATAATTCGCACCATGGACAAATATCTGTTGTTTTTAGGTATCATAAAAAGTTTAAAATATTGGATATATATAAAGTGATCAATATAAGATAAAGCACACATTATCTCTGTTATTTTAAAAATCGTTACACTTTCAATTTTGTATGAATTATTTGAAATTAAATATTCAACGCATCGTGATTTAGAGAAATACTTTCAAAAACAACCGGTAAGCATAATATATAATTATAAATTTAATTTAAACTTTAAAAAATAATTATTATTTTAACCAACATTTTAAGAAGTTTTGGGTATTGTGCAATTAAACTCCCAAGTGATTTTTCGAACAATTTTCTTTTCGGAAATCTATGTTTTACAACAACTTACAAATAATGGTACAATTAGACTTAATTGTCGGTCAGTCTAATTTTTTGTACACCTATCCAAAATCACGACATAAAAATTAAATAGGACAGGTTACTCGTGAATTATACTGGCTTCGTTTTAGTTTTTGATGCAGTTAAGTTTTCATGAATGTTTTTATGCAAGAGAAATCATCATAAATTATTTTGTCCGTGTTCTTAAAGATAAAGTATATGGGACATAGGATTATTTATTTTAAACGAAATACCAAAACATGTGGGGATATAATTTCTATCGAAATGTAATAATTAAAAAAAAATACCAATTGCTTTAGTAATTTAAACAATACAATTTAAACTTAGGTACCAACAGAATTGAAAATATTACGGCCCTCCAAAATAGTATCTTATCACTTTTCGTATCCTAAATTGTAATCAGACACCTCTTAGATAACGATTGACGGTTATTTTGTTGGAGTCATCGTTTTATAAGTATAGACTACACTAGTCGGCAATTTATTATGTGTATATATTTGTGAAAACTGTTCAGGAACTATTAAGCGTGTTATTATATTATATTTAATGTGTATTTGAATATTGCGTACATAAATATAGGTGGAAGTATAAGAGTATATTATTTTATTAGTTTAACTCACAACCCAATAACAATTTATATTATTTTAATCGTTTTGATTATCATTTTGTTACACATAAACATAACCAGCGGTCGTCATCCAAAACTATTTATAAACTATACAATTATACAATTATATAAATATAAGAAAATAATTACGACGACAGGTCTTACATACCGACGGGCGAATGACAATATTTATTATTTATTTTATATATTTATATTTTGATTACTACTCTAATAACTGATAGATTATAGAATTATAGAATTTCAAGTACATGTAAACGTTGACAACATCAACCAAATTTAATGAATCAATTTTATTATTTGTAGTACATCTAAATGGGTACATGTAGATGTACTACCTAAATAGAAAGAATAGTCAGATAAAATCATAACCGACAAAAAAAGTAAAAATTTTTTTCTAACAAACATCTGTTCCGGTTTGGATTAGGGTTCCTATGAAAATCAAAAAATTTTTTCGGTTACGTACCGGTTCTAACATTTTCAAAATGTTCCGGTTAAAACATCGGTTCCAAGCTCTGAACTTCATACTTGTCCTGCAGACACCAGTACTCTATATGAATGATGATGATCATTAGTTAGCCAATAGACATACCGCGTGTTTCTCTTGTATAGTGGGTACTCATAAAATAATAACTAATTCTTTACAACTGAATACTTTCCGCGGTTCATCGCTATATACTTTCAATTACCTACTTAAATCATAAGGCTGTCCAATTCTATCAGTGTTTCAGAATTCTTTTATTCAAAACAATGTTTTCCTGACCAACAGATTTTCGAATATGTTAAATTATGATGAATGACAAATGATAAATCTCGGACACCAACATGTTCATCATTTACACTGACCACGAAATATCAGGAATGGAGTAAATCCTTCCAGGAACACTGGGAGGGAATTGTCTAGCGCAATATTTTTCGACCCGAACCTCCGGATCAGACCCGGGGATTCGGCACATATAAAAACCAATATGACAATATTTTGCTTAAATCCGATGAATTTCACCTCGGATCCGGTATGGACCAATGGAAAATTTAAGTAAATTTACTATGAAAAATCTATACCGATTAGGGGAAATACACTTTAGGACTCCTATTATTTTATATAAAAAATTTGAATTATTTTGGATTTTATTGTAATATCTATGGTTAAATGATATTAGAGTTGTTTTAATTAATTAAATATAAATTGTAAACATATAAAGTAATACGATTAATAAATATCAAATAATAGAATATTTACATTATTTGTTTGGACCTTATATCCGTATTCTTCGGATCCCTAAAAAAAAAAAATACAATACAACGCAATACAATGTAATTATAAGTGTGAATGCATGTTATTCCTATAATTTTTTTAAATAAATAATATAAAAGACGGACATACTTTGCACAATGGGTGGGTCTCTGTTGTGGAAAAGAAGTTGAGAAGGTAGCAGGGAATTTGAATGTATATCAATAGGCAAAAATAAATAATTTGAAACGCAAAATAATTCTGAGCGAAGTTCTGTTACACAAATTTTTAAAGGCCTTAAAACGTATTTAAGATTCTCAACAAAATTTGATATTAAAATATTACAGTCAATATTGTTTTATTTATTATTTTTTTTTTTTTTATTGTATAAATAGTAAGAATTATAGAGAAGTACCGATCGAATGAAAATTACGTGAAAAACAAATTTCTACAAATAGCTCAAAAAAGTCAAATTTTTAAAAATTTGACTACGTTTAAAAAAATTAAATATACATTTTCTGTCAAAATTTAAAGTTTCCTTGAATATTTTATACTGAGGATTTCTTATAACATTTTTTTAAAGCCAGGTTTCTGGTAGAAAATATAAATTAAAAAAATATAAAATCATGAATTCGTTTCGCCGTACTCTAAATATTTGTCTGTTTATCCATGCATTTTTCCAACGGTTTTGCTACGTTTTTTTCATATTATTATGAAAACCACTGAGAAAATCAAATAAAAAAATGCTCTTGCTAAAGTATCAGCTAGATACAAATTTCTTTTAAAATATATGCCACACTTGATACATTAGAGTTAGAATTCTGTTAAAAATTGTGTACACAGAAAAAAAAATAAAAATATAATCATCATTATAAAACTAATACATAAATCATTTAGCTCAGAATCTAAAACTAATAAATATAATTTATATCGTTTAAAGAATATTTATTTTTAAAACAGAAAAGGAATATTATCATTAGCTATTTTATGTATATATATTATCAAACCTTAAACATAAAACAATACAAAACCGAATAGTTTCATTAATCATTGCAAATAAAATTAAAATTAAAATTAATTTTCCTTATAATACAAATACATGTTTAAACCTTGATAATTCATAATTTTGCTCTTGAAATTTCTCTAGACAAATATGAGTCGTGATATATTCTTTACTCGAGTTTCTTGATAATAAAACGTACAAATCTCATTAACACATTATTGCTAAGTAAAAGTATAACGAATCATTTATCTGATTTACTGCTCAAAATAGAATACCCGATGGCAAATACAGTTAATAAATTGCATATAGAAATAAGATATAAGAAAAATGTGTTTGTTTTGTATAAAATCTATAATGCAAATTTACATAATAAAAATGTTGAACTTACCAAAATGCTACTACAATCCCACGATTCGATATGATGTTTTTCCGAATGGAGTTCACTATCACTATTAGCATTCACAAACTAAGAAAATTAAATACAAATATATGTTAACATATGATCTAATTTTTTATAAACAGTAATTTTCTGTATAATAATTAAAATTAGAAATTTGAATTATAATCAATTAAAGACATTAAAAAAAAACTTACTTTCACGTTACATTCTTCGGACACAAATACGTAATGCATAAAATTATCAGTTTTAAAATTTGTTTTACTGAACATATCATCACTGATAAGCTGAGAACCCGTTACATCACAAAACAGATTTGAGCTAAGATAAATGTCTTCTTTGATATTATGCAATAATTCATCATAGCCAACTTCAAGGTCGCGTATACTGCCATTAAAATCCTGCACTTCACCATACATCGGGTGTCTAATATTTTCTTCGAGTTTATATGATTCAATATTATTTACTAAACGCTTTAAATTTGTCTGTATTAATTCGAGATTAGTTTCAGTAAACAATTTTAAATACATCATTGTTTCTAGTGCATTTTCGACATCATATTTGCCGTAATCGTGCAGAAACGTAAAAATACAGTATTGTTGATTTGAATGCAATTTAATTATTCTAATAATTTGTTCATCCGAGATACCATAAGCCTTATCATTTATCAGCAGGATCGCGAATGTATAATAGTAATACATTTGCTTCAGTATATAACCAAAGGTTCTGTCCATAAACCGTGATCTCACACTGTCAAGGTTTTGTTTGACTAAACTTAATTTGCAAGGTTTTGTTTGACTAAACTTAATTTGTCACTTTTCGTTCCCGTGATACCTACATTATATGTAGAGCCTTTTTTGTTTAATCCTTCATTGATTACATTAAATATTTTCTCATTCTGAGAAATTTCCATGATGTATTGTATTTGATTCCAAGTTATTTTTTGTTTGTGTCTTAATTCATCAAATTTAAAANCGTTTATTTTGAAATACCTTCGACTGGATACTCTGTAGAAGCCTCCTAAATGTTACACTTGTAATTGTTGACTACAATTTTAAGTCAACATCACGCTTAAACGAATAATGTGTTTTATGATAGTTATTTGCTTATACCATAGAATTCGGTAGTTCTGTTAATTGCAGTTTTTTTTTAAATTCTACAAAACGTGTGTTTATCACACAAAGTCAATACCTGAACTACTGGTAGGTTAATCCATTGCAAATTTTAAGAAATTCTATTGAATTTAATATTGTATTTCTTCAACAAAACCATTCCTGTATTCCGAAAAATATGAGGACAACATATACAATTATATTATTAAATACCAAATTTAAAAATTTAGCTGGTACTATTGTGTGTTCTACTGTTGTAGATGGGGAGTTTGAAGAATAGGGTACTTAGATTTATTACGCAATAATAACAATTTGGAAATATTAAAATAATTTTTGTCGTAAATTTGTCTGTTTTTCTTCAGGTTTTTGACTACAGTTTGTTTCAATTATTTCGAAAACTGCTTTGAACATCAAAAATCGACTTGAATACATAATAAAATACTAATATTTTTTTTATGCAATTCTCAAAATTCGGTACTATAGAAAATCAAAACTAAAAAAAAAATCGAAATTGAATTTGTACTTTTAAAATATTGCCGGCTACATAATTTCTATTTACTATTATATATTATTATATACAATATAAATTCTGGTGCCTTTCTATCTCTTTCCAAAGGTATTTTGTAGGTATTACTTTTCGGTTAGGTATTTATTCATATGCTTTATNCTTAGATTTATTACGCAATAATAACAATTTGGAAATATTAAAATAATTTTTGTCGTAAATTTGTCTGTTTTTCTTTAGGTTTTTGACTTCAGATTGTTTCAATTATTATGAAAACTGCTTTGAACATCAAAAATCGACTTGAATACATAATAAAATACTAATATTTTTTTATGTTATTCTCAAAATTCGGTACTATAGAAAATCAAAACTATAAAAAAAAAAAAATCGAAATTGAATTGGTTCTTTTAAAATATTGCCGGCTACATAATTTTTATTTACTATTATATATTATTATATGCAATATAAATTCTGGTGCCTTTCTATCTCTTTCCAAAGGGATTTTGTAGGTATTACTTTTCGGTTAGGTATTTATTCATATGCTTTATTTATATTCTATCAGTTAATAGATACGTAATTTTTTGAGTTATTGTTATTATTAAATTTCTTATTTACGTATAATGCAAAACTAAATAAATGGCAGTATAATTTTAAACAACTTGATTCATTTATGTTCATGTTCACGGAGTCCAATGCGAATCAATTTTTATTAGTGCGTCTATTGAAATTGATTGCATTATTTTAAATGTTTACTATTAGAATATTATTACCGTACAAGTTCTCGTTTAAAATAATAAAACAATGCTTCTATTTGCCATATAATATTATTTTAGATTCATATTTTGGTTATTAAAAACTGTTTTGAAAGCAGTCGAGAAATATATAATAAAACCAATATGTTGCTGGACAAACAATTATCAAGACTGAAATCAATCAATTATAATAATATGTATTATGAATTTGATTTGCACCAATCATTGAATGTATTATTAAATAATATTATGATTGTAGGTTACAATACATTTCACTATGGTTATGAAAAAATTAGGAATTATTGAATGTGAAAAAAATTTAATTGCCGGTCAACTTATTATTAAGGGATATATTTGTGACAATATTATAATTGTTACACCACGTCGCCGATATCCGTTTTTCCGCCAACATTTTGTTTTTTTTTAATATTTACCTGTGAATGTTACGTCGAGTGAAGTACACCTATTCATGACTCCACCCTACTATAGATCATATTACAACAACTCGTTTCCGTTGTCGTTTTTGTAGATATTACACTTGTTCTATTAAATTGTCCCCATATTAAACATTAAATTATGAAAATAATAAGAACAATTATTTTGAACATCTATCTTATCGTTGATTACCTATTGGTATTGTCAATAGTTTATTGTATTTTCGATAATACTTAATTTATATATTTACCTTAGCTCATGCTGCCGACATTTCTTTAGCAATAGTAATTTTATTGCAACAATAATATTTCAATTCAAAATCATAATATAACCGATAAATGTATCGGCAAAATAGGAAGATTTTTATTACCTTATAAAATCGGTTTGTTTGTCAGCAAAATGGAAGTCGGCGATGTAGGAAGACACATAATAAACGTTGACATCAGTAGGAAAGTATTGTGAAAATATATCTCTCGCTGCCTCGCTTGCGATAAGCACATGCATAGGGTAGTTAGGGTAAGCATTTGACTACTCTGCGAACTTATTTCCCCACCAAATATTCAATTTTATCATATAATAACCGTTTTGTTATTTAATTATGTTCAACACGGTAAATGGTAAAATTTTTAATATTGGTTATAAAGTGACTGGTATCATTTATTCAGTTCTTCGTACGGCTATCAGCTGCAGCTGTTGTCAGTAAATAACAGTTCCATCATAGAGTATTAATTATCATATTGCCGTATGAAACTATTCCAAAATGGAATTTAGGGTACAAAAAGATAACCTACTACTATCACGAACCAAACAACTGACCTCACTAGTTGATTGAAGTTTCAACATATTAATCTGCTACCTATCATAGATTATAATTTATTTTATCGAATGTGCGTTTAATGTATAATATGAATGCCAGTAATGTCTTCACACAATTATAACTGCTATCGGTTATAAATTGAAAAAAATAAGATTACTTAAGTTCACTTTTGAGATGAAAAAAATGTTGTAACATTCCTTGATCATAACTGAATAGATACTATTAAAATATCATATAACGTTCATAAAATTTAAAACTCAAAGAATTTTACCAATAGGCATTAGGTACCTATCATGGACTAAAATAGAAAGAACTTGAAATTACTAGACGGGTGGGTTATAGGAGAAGGACCTCTTACAGTTGACGAGTGTGGTGAACCGGAAGGGAAATGTTCTTTATCGACGCAAGCACCGCCTAGTAATACCTACACAGGTACACGAGACGTATAAGGTTTAGTGAAAAACGACATGGGTGAAAAGTGACGATGATGGCGTAAGTTACAACGTTACAGAGTATTTCCCCTCCGGTACTCCACACTCGTGATTAGTAAGCCACCTGACGGTACGGCTGTGGTTTTCAGACTATTTTCATCTTAGTCCAGGGTACTTTTTCAATTATTTTCTCAATTATAATTAAGGAATATTAAAAAATAGTTTATTATCTTATTGAAAACGTTAGCTATGAGTTTAAGACGATCATACACAAGTAGACTTTAACGTGTTACATATTTAAAACTAGTGTAATATGTGTTAAATTTTTGTTATATTACTTAGGTAGAAGTCTTAATAATATTCTGCATTGCGTGATTATCACATCAGGCATATGTTAAAACATTGTATATTTCATGCATTATCAATTTGATAAAATTTCAAACATTATTAGATTTGTATTTTTATTTTTACTTTTTTTGATTTTGTACACTGTATTTTATTTAAATGGAAGAAAAATCAGCAATAATTTTACACGTGAGGCAAGAAGCTGTATTCTATCTCAATGTTATTACTAAACACGTTTGAATTTGCAGTTAACCTAAACATTTTAAATGGTTTGATACATTTTCGTTTAAAAACTGCTTTTCTGGTGGTTTCATCTTACTATAACAGTATACAATATTACTATTGCGAATAACTACGGATGAACTTTTTCACAATATAAACGTTAAAATATATATCTACCTATATAAACATTTATTTGTCTGTACAATAACAGAGAATAAAACTATTTTATTACATTTTTCGTTTTCTTTATGTTTCAGGTAAGATAAAATAATATACAGACTAAGGAATTCTCCGTAGCCCACGGTGAGTTATTCGCGGTTATATTATTTATAAATTAAAATGCATTCAGTTATAATAATATATAGGTGGTATCCGAAATGTTTTCATTTTTATTAAGTTTAAAAAATGTAGGGAGTTATTCAAAGGTTTTTCAACTATATAGGTATACAGAAATAATAATAATGTTATCATTATCAGTGTTGATTTTTCTTTATGCTCAAAATTGAATCAATAAACAATAATGTTGTATTTTAATCTTTATACTAATTATGGTAAATTACCATATGTTTATTTTTATTTTATGATTTACATTTCGAGTGTATCCGTGTATAAAATTTTTTTGAAAGATACACGATTGCGAACGATTTTTTGTGTAGCGTTGTGAAACGAACGTAAACGTTTATTACGAATCTATTATTCAATCAATCTTTTATAAACAATACATGACGAATTAAGTCAATGTCTTGAATTCAGATTTTGTTTAAAGTTCTTTTTTTCTAATGACGTAGATCATGTATATTCATGGGAACTATGGCAGTAAGTTCTAATTAAAAGGTTAGACACTGATTTTAGTATTACAAACGTGTTAATACCGTTCATTAAACTAGATACATTATTTCTTGCTATTCTGTGGGTAAAAAAATCATCGGTAAGTTAATGATGTTTTTATTGTATACGTAAATATATTGAACTGTTATTATTTCACTTGTATCGTGTTATAATTATCGATACATAAAAAAAGACGGATATACTTCACACGATGGGTGGGCCACTGTTGTAGGTGATAAGTTAGAAATGTAGGATACACAAAGATTAATCATTGCTAATGAAAAACTATTCTGAGCGGAATTTGGTCATACATAATTTAAAAGGTCGTAGTATTTACGATTTTCGCCAAAAAAATTCTTATAAAAAAAAAATTTGTATTTCACTGTTTTACCGCAAAATACGACTTATAATGAACCTCCTATTTGAACTTGTCTGATACAAATATGGAGAAATGTAAATATTTTATTCTGTACATGTTGTGGTATACCCAAGATATAATTGATAGCACTTTTTCTGAGAGGAAATCTTACTGGGAAGGTATTTTAAAGAGATCATTTTTCGATTTTCTTAGGAGTTTTCTTATCAAATATGAAAAATCGAGAGAAAAATGAAGAAAAATGGG